AAAAAAAAAATCTCTATGTCCTCTTTTAATATTTTTGTCAACAGTGTCTTTCATTTTTTCTCCATTTTAAAGAATTATAACACCCTACATGCATCCTATCCCTTAGAAATCTAAAGGTGGCTTTGAACAAAAGCCATGGCTTCTCTAGTTCAAATTGATTTACTTATCTTCTTCTCTTCTGATTTATATAAAATTTATGGACAACTTGAGTACTCTCAAGGCTTTAGTTAACTCCCAAATTTCCATATCCAACCCACATACCTTTTCTGAATATATATTCAGCTGACCCATAGATCATAGATATCTCTACCCATATGCTTCAAAGGAAATTCAAATGTGTACGCTAAGCATAAGGGCTAATTTAACCCTTATCAATGCTTACAACTTTTTCTTGTGCTTTCTCCAGAAATATCCCTCTTTCTTACATACCTCATGAACTTCTCTTCAGTCTTAAAAATAAATCTTAAATTTATCTTGTCCAAAAAGTATTCCCTAACCCCTTTCAAAATAATTGAACAAACTTCCTTCTTTGGTACCTTTTAATGCTCCTATCATTACACCCATAACTTTTGAATTTTTTATTATTTTTCTGCCCTGTCGACTAATCTGCAAGTACTTGAGATTACAGGTTATTTCTTTAAATGAGATTTTTTTCCCTGAAAAACCTTATATATTATGATAAACAATTTGTATAGGTAAATGGCTGACTTGATTAATAAGGATTGAGGTAAATTGCTTGATTTCACTAATTTCACTAAATTTCAGGGTTTTTTTCAGTAAATTTGTATTAATGATACTTTATTAAGTAATTATGTGAGGATTAAATGTATGAGACAGAGCAAAAGCACACTGCACACTCACTGCCTAAAACCTTACCAATCAACATTTGTTTCTTGGCCTTTATCATACTCAATTCAATACAAATGTATGTCTAAGTGAATTGCAAACATTATAAAAATCCTTATTAACTTCGCTAGGACACACACTGATTGTTAGGAAATATTAAAATATTTCTACAAAATAATATACTCTCACATTCTTTTACTCTGAGATTTCATATTAAAACCATGAATGGATTTTATTAAAAATCAAAGTATATGAGAGAATTGATATGTATATATAAGTTGTTATATATACATATAGGTCAGAGTATCTATCTAGTGTGTATCAAACCTCTCCCATGTGTTATTTATATTTTTGAATACATTATAAAAAAAAAAGTAAGGTCAAGTTGATCAAACCAATATTCCAGGTCAATGAGGAGCTTAAATATGTGTTGGAGAAAGAAAAGAGGCAACAGAAACAGAGATGGAAAGGCAGAAAAAGACAGTGGTACACAGGGAAAGAAGAAGGGAAGGGAAAAAGAGGAAGAGAGGGAGGAAAGAATAAAAGAAAGAGAATTCTAGAAAAAATTAAAGAATAGCTGATACCTGGCCCATCTTCAAATACTAGTGGTGAAGTCAATATACATTTCCTGGATCCTAGTACTTGAATTTCTATAAGAAAACAAACTAATTAATATAAATATTAATTCACCAAAATAATATACGGATATTGAGTGTGTTATATATATGTGTGTGTATGTGTGTGTGTGGGTATTTTTCCTTCAAAGTCCAACCAAAA